GGCCGAGGTACCGCTGCGGGCGGGACGGGACGGGACGCGGAACGAGGCCTCCCGGGGAGTGGCGGGGAGGGTCTGGGGGCGCCAGCCTAAGGATGGGGGGCTTTAGTGATGGGGAACGGGGACGGCCTTGCCCCTGCCGACAGCTGCTGGGTTTGGAAGAGAAGCGCAAATTCGTTCTACACGTGTGCCAGGAGCCCAAAGAGTTAGGGCCTTCACAGCATGAGCGATAGTGCTGATTGCTCTTCAGGGTGCCGTTGGCAGTGGCTGGAGATCAACCAGCCCTTCACTTCTTACTATCACTTCTTAAAAAAAACACCATCAGAATGAGAAAGCGGGTATATTGGGTGTAAGGGTGTATTGGGTAGTCTGGTTTGGCAGAAATGCCGCTGCAAATAGTCCATAAGGCAGTTATTTATGGGAGAGAAGGGACACTAGCTGGATATTCTGTTGGTGTGTAGTTCAACTGTCACCTTACGTTGACTTGATCTCTCGTCTCCCTGAGGTGCCAACGATGGCTGTAGAGAAAGTCTTTGTGTACAACAACACATCCATTGTGCAGGATGAGATTCTGGCTCATCGCTTGGGCCTCATCCCTATCCGAGCTGACCCTCGACTCTTCGAATATAGAAACCAAGGTGAGGGTCTTTGATCAAATACAAATACTGAAGGTTTCCCTCAAAGCAGGAAATCAGAATCATGTAAATTGAGCAGAAGTGTAATTTCACAGAGGCTCATGCTGTTCTCCCCTTCCCAGGAGATGAAGAAGGCACAGAAATTGATACTCTGCAGTTCCAGCTGAAAATAAAATGCAGCCGAAACCCTCAGGCAGCCAAGGAGTCATCTGATCCTGATGAACTATATTTCAATCACAAAGGTGAGATCTCTCCTAAAAATAGGTTCTGGTTTTTTTTCTTTTTTGGTCTTGGGAGACAGGATTTGGTCAGTTCTCTCAGCAGAGCGAGCCAATTCTCTCATTTTGCTAAACTTACTTTTTTGCCATCTCTGGTCCTGTACAGGTCAGTGACCTGGCTTGAGACAGCGGCTGGCTGATGCTTGTGGCTTCTCTTTGCAGTGTACAGTAAACATATGACGTGGGTGCCCTTGGGGAATCAGACAGACCTCTTCCCAGATGCTGACTTCCGACCTGTTCACGATGACATCCTCATTGCACTGCTGCGACCTGGCCAAGAAATAGATGTGCTTATGCACTGTGTCAAGGGTATAGGTGAGTCGTGGGTGCTGGGGCAGCAGGAGGAAGAGTGTGAGCACTTGGACTAGGGCACAGCTTTGTGGAGGGAAAGGGTGGAGAACTGGCTTTTCCTCTGGAAATTTAGGCCCCGGCATCCTTGCGCTGTCATTCCTCGAGGCCTGCCCCCATCCTTGACTCTTCATTCTTCATGCAGGTAAAGATCATGCCAAGTTCTCTCCTGTGGCCACGGCTAGTTATCGACTGCTTCCTGACATTACCCTCCTGCAGCCTATTGAGGATGAGGCAGCTGAGATGTTGCAGAAGTGCTTTTCCCCAGGAGTCATTGAGATCCAGAATATCAAGGGTACTTTTTTCCTGTTCTAAGTGCCTTGTCCCTTACAAGCCTGAGCAGACACTGATTAGACTAGAGCCAAACCTTGTAGAGACAAAACCACGTTGTGATGTCGCTTTGCTGATCAGTGACTGTTTATGCTATTCTGAGCCTGGTTTTATGGATGAGTGGCTGTCACGTGCAGATGTGTTGGGTGATGAGCTGGGATTTCCCTGAAACGCTAAGGCATTGGGTGCTGAACAGTTTCCAGTGCTGTTCAGTTGTCTGTAAGACTGGGTAGCGAGCTTGCTCTTTCTAGCAACTGAACATGGAGAAGACTTCATGTGTTGTGCCCAGGGGTGCACACAAGCTTTGTGTTTGGGTTGGAACTGTTCAAGAAGATCAGTTTTGTCAGGTTGGAGTTTCGTGCTGGGGATGTGCTGACTCTTTATATTGGCGGCTTCACTGCTTGTGCTGATGGAGGAGTGCATGTTTGAGGGGTAAGCACCTGCTACAGGTGCCCATCTTGTTTCATCTTTTCCCCTTTAGGAAAAAAGGTGGCAAAAGTAGCCAATGCACGGTTGGACACATTCAGCAGAGAAGTTTTCCGTCATGAGAGTCTGAAAAACCTTGTGCGCCTGGCAAGAGTACGAAACCATTATATCTGTAAGTGCCCCGTTTTTCACAGAACACAGAGCCTTGCTGTGGTTTGCGCAAACAAGCAGAGACTGGCCAGCCCGTATAGCTATGTCTCCACCTCCCTCTTCCCCTCCCACATCATCAGCATTCATACATTCTTATTCCGATGGGTAACTACTGAGGTTGTGCTTTGGGATTGAATGTGTTTGTGCTTCCTGCTGGCAAATGTAACGTCTTCTCCTCTGGCTGTGGAGATCTGGCTTGTCAGAAGTTCGCTGTAAGGGAAGACAAGGGACAGAAATGCTGGAGCCAGGTGTAGGCTGGAGCTGCTAGTGGCTGTGCTGACTTGTGTCTCTGTGCAGTTTCAGTGGAGTCAACGGGTATCTTGCCTCCAGACGTGCTGGTGAGCGAAGCCATCAAGATCCTGATGGGGAAGTGTCAGCGCTTCCTGAATGAGCTGGACTCTGTGCCTATGGACTGACCAGGCTGAGCCTGGGAAGCATATCCCTGTGCTGCTCTTTGGGGCTTCCTGCATCTGCCTGCAGGGGTGATCCTCTTCCGTAGGCAAGAGGGGTGAAATGGGCTTGTTAAGAGTCCTAGGACCATCTCTTTGAATTTGTTGTCTGTTGGTAACGAGCCTCAGTGAGGAGATGCACTAAAATAAAGGGTTTTCTTTACAGCTGTCTCCTGTGCTGTACACAATTATGAGGTCGTAATACACAGAGAAGAAAGTGGCAGCAGGTCTAAAGATGAATAATAGCAATACAATAGATTGTATGCAGTGTACAAAGAGGACTGATAATGGCAGTGTAGTAAAGCACTTTGCAGCAGGTCAGTGAGATTTAATAAGTCAATATCAGTACAGGACTGTTTTGCAGGTGTCTCAAACCAGCTCTGGGGTAGCTAATGTAGTGGATAAAGGTCTGTACTGTCAGAGAAGAGAAGGCTCCGGGGAGACCTTATAGTAGCCTTCCAGTACTTAGAGGGGGCTACAGGAAAGGTGGAGAGGTACTCCGCATCAGGGAGCGTAGTGATAGGATGAGGGGTAATGGTTTTAAACTGAAAAAAGGTAGATTTAGATTAGATATAAGGAAGAAATTCTTTACCGAATTGGTTGCCCAGAGGTTGTGCCTGCCCCCTCCCTGGAAGTGTTCAAGGCCAGGTTGGACCCATGGCAGGGGGGGTTGGAACTAGATGAGCTTTTGACAGTCCCTTCCAGCCCAAATGATTCTAGGTTTCTATGATACAGTACTGGGCTTCTCTGTACAAAGGTAAGAGTTTAAAAACATGCTGTGTAAGGACTGTCTGTCCCTTCTTAAATATCTCTAGGTAAAGCATTTCTTTCCAGGTGTTAGATTTGACTGCTCTGTTCTCCCTTTCAGTGTCTGAATGTACTCTGGGCTGACCTTGAAGCAGAACTGGGTGGTGGAGGGCAAGTGACAGTCTAAGGCCTGTCTCCAGCCTGGGAGAACTTGCAAGTTAGTCTCAGTGGTGAGCACTATCCTTAGGCAGCACGGTGTAGGTCTTGGCTTGTGAAGTCTCTCTTGACAAGCTGATGAAGTAACTAGAACTTCAGAGAATGGCTGGGAGTACTGGTGTGCTCCTGTTGCTTAAGTCAGTCCTTGCTACAATGCTAGAATTTAGCGTAGCGAAGTGTACTTTTTTTCTACCTGTTTCACAGGGATATTGTTACTTACACTCTAAACATCCTTACTGGTATTAGGGCAGATGTGCTGTAGGGCAGAGGTACACTTGGCATCCTGGCTACAATCCCAGCCTGCCCCATGTCACCACACTGTGTTGCAGACCTATGCCCTGCTTCCAGGTATTTTTCGGGACAGCGGGTGACTGGTTGCTGGGGAAGAGGCTGCTTCCCTGGCAGGGCTGTTCTGGGAGCTATCAGTGCCTGCTGACATTTGCACCTCACCTGCTTTCAGCAGGCTTGTGGAGACCTTGGCTGCTGACCCATCCCACAGGGTCTCATTGATCCCCTTACCCTTAGAAGGGAGCTTTGGGAACCCAAGAGCTAGGCCTAAATCCTGTAGTCTGTACCTCCTGGTTTAAACTCCTACCAGCCTTAGCCAAGATACCTCCCCAGGGCTTTATACTTGCTTAAAGCTTCAGACAGCTCAGCTGTTCAGTACCTGTCTCACATGTGAGCCTGTACAGGGTATAGCCCCAGTGCCAGCATAAGCATAGGGAAGTTCCATCTGCACTGGCACTAGTTCCTAATCAACAGCATTTATGTGTTGATCCCATTTGAAAAACTGATTTCTAGCTGGCTCCTTTCAGTTTAAACAAGCCAAAGTAGCTTCTGTGCTGAGCTGGATTACAGCTGGGGCTTTGGAAAAACGTTTTGCAACAAAGACACTGATGCTGCTCAGGCCCATCTCTTTGAGGGCTTCTGCTTTTGTTCTGCAAGACCTTTCAAGCACCCTTCATCAGGCAAGGGGACAAAGGCAACAGCTGCATCACCTCCCTCTTGCTGAAAAGGGCAGCTGAGAGATATAATGCCTTAACTGTGGTACTACTCATGAGCCAGGGTCAGGCTTGGAGGCTACTGGAGTAGCACATGCACCTTTCTGTGCTATTGCTTCATGTATTTCCCATAGTGCTTATGGGAACAGCCATGCCAAAGGGTTTCTCTGGCAACACCTACCCTTCAAGCTGTGAACTGGGACCTAGTGGCTGTTGTGGAATTAATAGTAACCAGCTGTGAATAACGTATACATACTTAGGCATTTTCCCCTTGCCTTAAAATTTGATTATGTAGTCTGGAACGGTTCATCCCCTCCCTGATAATGTACGTTGACTACCAGCAAAGGTGCTCCCTCTTTTGGTAGCTGGAATGAGGAGTGCTGAGCAGTCCTTAGGAAGGCAGTCTGAGCAGAGCAGAGGCCTCAGATCATATGGAAACAGAGAAAAGAATAAAAATGAAACATGACACCATGTGTATGAAACTGGAATAACTTTACTGACATTCAGAGGTGTAGCACAAACAGTTCAGAGACAGCTTCAGATTTAAACATTCCTACAAAAAAGGTTCTAAAAACTGGTTTTAAAAAAACCCCTTGTGTCTAGCATGAAGTCACAGAATGTTAAAAATATCACAACACAATAAATACACCCAGCCTTTGCTAGAGCCAGGAGCCATGTTAGCTCAGAGGTTAAAAAAGTTTGAGGCCAGGAGGAAAGTGGAGGCTGCTGGTGGAACAGCAGGGGCAGGACAGTGAGTGGATTCCCAAGGCCTGCTCTTCCTTTCTGTGCTTCCACTCCTCCCCAGCTTTTCTGTCCAGTCTGACCAAGCAGGGACACCACAGTGTGTCCTTCACCCACCACAGTTTATTACTTGTTCTGTCTGGATGGCAAAACTGCTGCCAGCTAGCTCCGGACAGACACTCCCAGCTCCTGTGCCAACACAAGGATAGATCAAGTGAGCCATCTGTCACGTAAGAACTAGCTTTACAGACTGGAGTGGCTTGATACGAGTCCCACCTCATCTAAAACCCAGTTTCTGACCTGGCTCCCTACTGTGAACTGCAGTTTAAGCCCTGCCCCTCCTGCCACACCATGCAATTCTCTGAGAAGTACCAAACTGGGTAAAAACAGGCTTACTGTCACTCCACAGCAACAGGGTGAGGAGATCCCTTTTGGTTTGCAGGTGCCTCAGAAATTGGTCCAGATTTTGTGTGCCCTGCACTGGCCATGTTCTAGTCTACAGGGCATGGTAAGAAGAAAAAAATAATTAAAAAATATGTCCTGCTCCCCCTGAGACGTTCAAGAAAGGCTGGCACAAGGTAAAAGCCTTCCATTTGGCTCTGGGTAGAACAAGCTGTATGATCATATATGTATACATATATATGTATATATATATGTATGACAGTGTCTGTCTCTTTCTAGAGAGCAGCTGCACCTTAGAAAGGCTGATCTCGAGGGAGATCCTAGAGCACTGCTAGGCTTCCTGGCATGCAGCCCTCAGCCCAAGGCTCAGCATCCTGGAGGGAAATGCATTCATCAGAATTCCAGTCGGCTGGGGACGGGTGCTGATCGGCACGATGGGAGTGTCCGATGTGTTCCCTGCCAAACCTGGCTGCTAGCACCCAGAGGAAGATCAGGGTAGCCCCTGTTCACGTGGCGCACTACTCTGCCTTTTGCATTAATCCTAAACCCCAAGGGATGAAGAGGTGGAGCAAGAGTGACCCAAGGCTGCAGGGTGACCAGGCTTTACCTAATAGAGTCTATGGGCTCAGCTCCCACCTTGTAGAGAAGCAGAGGTCTAAAGATGCTCGTCCGGCAGAGGGGAGGGGAAGGAATTGGGGAAAGCTTAATAGACTGGTTCAAATGCCACCGCAGGCCCCATCCCAGTGTAGGGAGGAGAATGGGACAGGACCTGTAAGGGGCTTTATTCAGGCGAATGCTTGTGAAGGCAATGACAAGAATCTAATGTGCTTACTATGAGGAGAGACAAAGTATAAGGTAGGGGAAGAGATGGTTGCAGTATCCCAGGCTCAGGGCTCAAAGAGTGCAGTGAGGCCCTCTCCATCCTCATTTTCTAGCACTTCCGTCTCCAGTGATGGCTTCACCTTTTTGAAGAGAGATGGGAGGTTCCGGATATGAACCTCCTTGCGGAACTGTTCCCCAAGGGGCTTCTGCAGAGGAAAGACAGGCAGGCGTCAGTCGTTACCGCCTTCACACTCCGACTCAGCTCTGGGGCAGCCTGCTTGCAGACCAGAGGCAGACCCCAGATTCTGAGCAATCCGTAGGCTGAAGCCCCTGCTTGCATTTGGGAGAATTTCAGGCCTGGTCCTTCTCAAGTGCCAGGGCACTGAGGTAAGCCCCAGTGCACCAGCTCCCCAGCTTCTCACTCAGTGCCACCAGGCTCCAACGCCAGCATCCTCACAAAAGCCCAGCACCCACCTCACAGCTTTGTTCAACCATTTTAACACCCTGTTCCCCCAGGCACCCTTGTGCAAGGTACCCCCTGCCTCTCCATGAGAAGTCACTGCTGGGGGGCTGCTCAATCTGTGCTGCCATCCCCACTCTACCTCCAAGTTGAAGAGAGACAGAACAAACACTGAAAATATGCTCCTGGTTGGGAAGGGGGGGGCAGCTGGGGAGACACAGGCAGGCTGGCTGCCCCGTTGCTTTTGCAGGGTATGGGTGTGAAATGAAACAGGTTAATATTCCTCCAGGGTAGCACCTACCCCAATGCAACCTGTGATGAGGCGCTTGAAATGATCCTTCCGGCGCTTGTCTGCCACCTTCTGCAGCGTTGGGTTGAGAAGCTTTGAATCAAACTGCTCCAAAGAGTCCCTCTGGATGCCTGGGACCTGCTCCATCACTGCCTTCAACTCAGCGTAGCGAGGGCGCTGCAGGGAGAAGTACAGTTACCACAGCTCTGCTAGAGGAGCAGCCCTGCCCTCCTCAGGGGCCATTAGCTCCTCTGTCCATACCCAAGCGGGCATGGCATTGATTTTCCACCGCTCCCCAGCCAACCTCGCATCTGGATAAAGAGAGGAATTTCTCACCAAGGCCTCGTAGATCTGGAAAGCCAGGTGGACAAGAGCAGCCATGCAGCCATCGTGCTGCCCATGTGTCTGTAAGCCCTTCAGCACACTTGTGAAAAACCAGGACACGGCATCGGGCAGGAGGTTTCCCGGAAGCACCTGGGGAAGAGG